ACATGGACATTAAATATGAATCCACACAGGTTCCAGTTATTGGAGGTATTCAGGTGTGCGTGTGATGAAAAATAACTACATGTCTAGAGGACGGCCGACCGTGCAAGGAGGGGATTAGTCACGGTTGCATGTTCAAGGTCGTCGTGAATGCCACTGCAAGGGGGCTGACATCCGTCCACTGGGGTGAATCAGTGTCAAATGATATATGTACGAACTAGGCATGGGATGGGACAGCTTAACTTTCCAGCCAAAATCACCAAATAAGCAACTCATCAAAAGCGTCTGTAGCATAAGCATACAGGTGGATTGATGTCTTGTGGTGGATCAAACAACGGCGAATATCAAACACTACTAAAATTGTTTACTTTTTCATTGAGATAAAGGAGGGATTCGACGTCCGTGGTTGATCACAGGTTAGATAAGGATATTTATGTCCCTTTTTATTCTCAATCGGTCACACATTCACAGAATCTAGGTGCTTGGATCCGGTAAACCATCTGTATAGGGGAATGAATGAGCTGTTTTCCAGATTACAAAGATGAAACTAAAGATGTCTCATTTCTTCTCTCTTAATTTAACCGGGAGCGCTGCCATAAATGATTCACAGAGGTAAAATCCTCATCCAAACTAGTTGGAGCATTTCGTGGCTTGGTTGAGAAAGAAAGTGCAGGAAAATCTAACTGCTGGGAGGGAGAGTTTGCACCTTAAATTTTTGCCAATTTCATTCACTCCTCTTAAGGTAGTAGATGAACCCTCATTACAACACGAAGAGTTCAACTGCAGGATCAGTAAAGTGGGAAATGATTACATTACCAAACTCAAATCAGTTAATTTAATTTCCCTTATTTGCCATATTCCTGGTTCCAAGAAAGCAGGACGAAGAGGCTGTCGTATTTAATTGCATAGGTGGAATATAAATGCATTCCTAAGCACGATTAATCCCAATTTTAGAACGTGAAGAGGGAATTTTTAACTACTTACCGCCAATGATCAGAGGGTTAAAACATCCTTATTGATGTCAATTATGGACATTGAAATGTGGATCTGGCAATGCTATCCAGCCCAAATTTATTTGTGGGAATACGAGAGATCATGGAGAGAAGTCACGGTTAAAAAAGAATTAGAGGTGTTAATAAAAATTTTCCATTTCCATGAACGCTTTACTTGACTGCGTCGATAAGATGTGGGCGTTATTTACAACCCAGGGATTTCATTCGCCGCTTACAGCAGCACAAGGGAAAATTTGTTTGAATTTACTTCACCTAGTTTTCCCGACATTCCACCTTATATAGAAATGATAAAGTTGGAAAAGTATAAATAGGATCCGGGGCCTTAAAAAAATCACTATGTTCAGCTAAAACCATGGGCACAAATAAACATATAGGAAGCAACTTCGATATGTGCGAGGGATGTTTAAAAGACTTCTACTTCATTTTAGCCCAGTGAGAGCCGGTAGGAGTTGTACAAGATTTGGCATTTCCCCTCTGAGAGCCAAGCGACTAGCTTCACCGAGCAGGCGAAATTTACGAAATTTGGCACCCTATGATGAGGGTGATTGCAAAAGTTATAACTTGGAAATAAGGAAGAAGGAGGAGTGATCTATCACGCCTCGGAAGGGAGTCCAAATTTCTTCATTCCAATGTGGGGATTTCCCGTCTAGCTATTTAGGAGTGGATGAAAATAGGCGAAAATGGCCGTATTGAATAGCCATAAAGATGATGCTTCGAACGGAACTGTGATAGAAAAAAAGGCTCTAAAGGAAGATAAAAGTACAAGAACAGATGTTATTCATCATGGGATGAAGTAGGTAAGAGGAATTTCGAGCAAACCTTGGAAAGTAGTTAAACCGTCAAAGGAGAAGAGGAAATATAAACGGCCCTTCTTGGATAAGCAAGTGCCAAACTAGCCCTTTCCCCAGATCTTCAATCGTGAGAGAGGAAAGTCTGTACCATTGAGATATCCTTTCAAGTAAAATCCTTCCACATCATTTTGACTTAACAACGTAAAAGTGGTATAGGAAGAAGAGTTGGCGTAGCACGACTCTCAAAAGGCACTGTCAGCATTTAAGTAGAACACAAAGCAGAAAATTCTAGTGCTTTTCCTTAACCTGAAAGGAGGTGAAATAAACAAACATCAAGTACTTTCCAACTGCTAGAACATATTTTATAGCCAATTCTCTGTAAGTAATTCAATTAGTGACTGATTAGTCCACCGCTATAATCACTTAAAAACCATCCATTCTAGTAACATTTTTTCTCAATCAGTAGAAATATTGGAAATGCGAATTTTCGTTCCTTTTTGGATAAAAGTAGCATATTTAAAAGCTTTTATTCAGGAAAATTTTCTCCAAGTGGTGAAATGGAGTGAAGTCATTTCAAATCACGTGGACCGAAAAAAAACTAACAGTGGTGCCATTCCGATGGAGGAACGGTAATGAGCCAATGTCGTTCAGCATGTACTCAACTGACAAGTCAATTGGCTATCAAACAACAAATTGCTTATGGAATGTCTGAAGAGGGCTAACCTGCAAATCGGCATAGAGTCTAACCAACTGCTGACGTTGTCTCTCCCTTAGAGGCAATTCTTCACGCCTGTGTCGCTTCAGATCATTAACGACCTGCCGCTGCATGGACTCTAAGTCAGCAGGGAAGTGTCGAACAGCCAGGTGGTCGCACTTCGCTCGCAACCACTGGATCAACTCGGCAGCAAGGAGTCGGTACTCAGACCATAAACTGCGTATTTCATCAGAGACATCTGCAGTTGTCACTAGTTGGGAGCTGAGCGGTGGTGGTGCCATCGCTACGTCCACGTCTACTGGAAGAGGCGGAATTGGAAGAATTTGGCGGCAGCCAGTAATGAGGTCACGCGGAGATAGAGCAAGAGCATCGTAGAGGGAGGAAACGTAGACTATTACCGACCGACTATCCACTGCGTTCTCTGTGGCGACCATGTCTGAAAACGTGCAGAAAATTGTTATTTGTGATTCTAATAATACGTAGCATTTAATTATGCATCATTATGACATATGTGTGCTTCTATTCACAGAGCTAACGCACTGAGCCACCAACGCTTCCACGAGGCACATTTGAATTTTGTGCATACCATCAGGAGTAATTCGAAGGTTAGATTAGTCACCATACGATAGGGTGTGCGCAACATATCTTGCTCCCTTCCTCAAAACATGGACATAATTTAAAAGCATTTTTGGTCGCACTGCACTAGCATCACAGGGTAGTCGAGCCAATTAAAAAGGCTACAAAGAAAGGTTTCCAGTAAACTGGGTGGTCTTCCATCTAGGCTATAAGAGCCGGTATTTTCACGCACTAAGACCCATGATAACATACTAAACTGGTTGGCAACTTTGAAAAAGAAAAGAAAGAGGAGGAATTACCGTCACCATTGCTTTTTTATTAATAATTTAATTTAGACTTATCATCAATCTTCACCTCTTAGTCCCTACAGTCCTCCACCACCTGCCACTTAACAAAAAATACGGTGTAAACACTCATATTAAAGTATGGGACATGCGTCCTTGCACCATGAATGAAATCGGGTGCATTACACCTGTTCCTCTTGTCCAGGTCAAGTAACACTCTCAACTACTGCCTTAATCAACATTGAGGAATGTGGAATGTAGTGTGGAAGTGTAACAACTTGAGACCCATTGAACGAAGAGAAAGGTAATATGACATGACATGTCGAACATCGTGATAAGGCAACCTCACGTATTTTCGTCTCAATGGTTCAAAGTTATCTACTGTTATCCGTAAGCTTTGTCATTTTTTCAAGTCATCGTAACCAAGACAACGCAATAAGTCATCATGCTCTTCTTATGTTTGCCAATGACAAAGTGAGGGTTAGAAAAGTGGCAGGTGAGAGGCAAGTGAATTGTAAATGTATGTAAAAGAGAATGTGGGAAGGCACGAGTGCGTTTTCACTGAGCTAAGGAGAGTTTTACCTTCGGGATAGATGAGTCGAGTTATGCCGAGTCGTTCCTCGGCAATGCGGAAGGCGAAGTCGAGAACATCCTTTGGCGGCCGACTGGCAGCCTTAGAGTAGTCGAAGAAGTGAGGTCTATGAAAGACAAAAATGACAAGTTTTTGCTATTCAGTGCTTTTTTTAACGCAACTTGTCAACTCTGGAGACAAAAGAGATATGTACCACATGAGTCACTGTGTGATCTTTTTCTCAGAGATTTGTGTGTTTCACCCTTTCGAATTCTTTATGCACAAGTTTAAAAAACTAATGAATCTCTTTTGGCCTTCTCGGAAGAATTCTTGTTGTAGAGTGTAGGAGAAAATCTACAAAACCTCAATTAACTTGAGGTACATAACCTATAAAAGTAGGTCTTGCTTCGTATTTGTACTGCAGAGTTGAATTATCACTTCCAACAGAACAGGAGCTAGACCAACTTCTCCATGTTTGTTCTACAAGCAAAGAATGGTTATCAGGGGTAAAATTTGCCTTCCAATTTCTGAAATAACTACAACTGCATCTCCTGAAGCGCGCTGTGTGCGTGAGAACGCCACGGGTACTCCAACAAGCGCAACCAAGGTAATTCATGAAGGGTTTATGGTTATGTGAGAGCAAGGTAATGACTTAAATTTGAGGCAGATTGCGTAATCACAATCAGAGGATGTCTCGAAGTAATGTTTTCATTTGACAAAAAAACAATGCAGCTTTACGGATTGTGCTTGCGTTGTTTTAGTTTCTCGCAGTTTTTACTTCCACAAATGACCAATGCCTGTCAAGCCTTTCCTGACGTCATAAACTTTATGTTGGACTTACTTCAAATATCATAATGGGAGGATGTGTTTATTATCTTCACAAAAACTATGTGGTACTGGGTGCAATACTCAGAATTATGTAAAGCAGTGAAGTCCGATGCTTTAAAGGAGCTCTACATCGGGAGGAGTGGTCGGTCGACTGATCAGACCACACCTACATTGCATTATAGCCTGCGCTTGAGGAAGAAATCCTCCCACCCCCAGTTTCACGCTTTAAACGAAACCTGAAAATACAGTCTGTTGAACCGAGTACGATGATAGGAAAATTCAAGCAAGATTTGTGTAGTATCTAAGCCTCAGCGAGGACATTCAGCACCAGCCACAAGCACAAAGGTGAATTTCGATATGGATCGTTAACTTTTTAACAAATCAAAAACTTCTAGATGGGTGTCGGATATACCAAAGCAACTAAATCCAATTATTTCGGACACTATGCTAGCTGCGCGTAGCTATAACCCTATCTTTCGGGCTTTCAGGCTACCGACTAAAATAAGGTTATTTATGGGCTCTGGGACTAAAATATCACCAAGGGCAACTTTGTAGATATTTCATTTATTATGACTTCACTGAGTCGCCGTGGGAAAATGTTCCAGAAAGAGTTGCGTTTGGTAGATGCGGCGAAATAAAATCATGATGCCTGGATGGCACCCTTCAAAACCTGTTTTAAACTCAGTACAAATTGAGAGGATTAGTCTATTGCACCCAAAAGGGCATATTCACGGTTAGCAGTCATTGTGTCAAACAGGAAATATGGCAGGCCTGAAATAAAACTTCCCAATACATTTTAAAATGATAATTTATTCAGCGGTTTTTCTCATATGTATTTTTTTAAGCTATGACAGCGAAATGCGACTTCTATCATGAACTGTGGATTGGTTAGTTAGACATTATTTAACTACCTGCTTAAGTGTATTTTTACTGCAAATGGAAGGGCATTCATTCCTAAGCCCTCAACTCACTTGTAGCGATGGATGATGGCAAGAAAGGCACGTCCATCACTCCAAGAAGACGAGAAGTCATTGATATCTACACCACGGTAGCCTGTTGTCACGACTCTACACCAGGAGAGGAGATTCCGACCTGCAGTTTCATCCAACAGAGCCAGACTCTGGAGAGAGCTGCTGCCGTTATTAAGGATCAATCGGCCCTCTGGAATTATTAGATCTGGTGGTAGGGCATTCTCCGTGCCGACAACCACTCCAGACGGAAGATGGAGAAGATCTGACAGCTAAAAATGAAGGAATGGGCCCTCAAATATGTGATTCCATTAAATTCAGCAAAATAATCTCTAGCTTCATTGGGAACGCCAAAAAATGGCATTTTTGACTACATTTTACAGGGCTACAACGCTGAACAACATTAGATCTAATTTCGTCGACATGAGGACCACAACATTTGCGACCTAATATCGGTCTTCCCTCACCATAACCTGAGGTCTGGCAACAGGTGATGTTCGGGAATTTTATGATTTCCTACTAGGTGACCTTTGTTATCTTCAGAATCCGCTTACTTGTTTCGGAACACCCACACCTCAGGTGCTAATTACTGACAGCAAGGACATGACAGGGTTGAAGTGAACCGAATATAGATCTGCTGTAAGGACAAGACTAATCGGGTTTGCCTCAAAATATCAAAAATTAAGGTAAACTATATGCGACCTAAATATTTTAAAATGTGCTTTATAGCACAACAAAGTGGTGCTTTGTAAGTTGAAAACGGATGAGCCAATCGAACCCCCAGGTTTTCATGAACGTCGCCTAATTCAGAGCCTGACGACGAAAGCAAAAAGGAATGAAGGAAGGGGGTAATTGTAGATTTTCGACATGCGAACCAATCTTTTTTTGGTCCTCCTCATAACAGCGATGACAGGAAACAGTTTGACATCTCAAAAGTTCAAAACTAAATTTAATATATCCATTTTAATAAAGCAAAACAATGTATTTCAGGGCATTTGCCTTCGGGTACTGATAAAAACACATTAAGTGGTCATGCATCAAGTGCCCCAAAAGGTGCGCTATGGTACGCAGTTGTTTGTATCAAAACAGAAAAGGGGAAGACGTACGTGGAAATGGAGGATGATTATCCATATTAGACCGAGGGTTAACTTTGGATTGCCATCAACAATATCATCCGGACGGATGTTCACGATCCGAACCTAAAGAAACCCGAGCAATCTCAATGAATGTAATACTAATCAAATATTTGGAAAGTGGGAAGGAGTTGGATAAATGTGACTTTAAACGGCTTCATTAGGCAGTCCAATTGGTCTTTCAATTGCGCAGCAAAGACTACAGAGGGTTTTTTGACATAAAATGAGGGTTAACCAGCCAAATCTTATTCCGCTGCAGTAAATAAAGTGTGGATGGTTTGTCTGCAGTTTGCCAAAATCCATGACAGTCGTGCAGCAGAAAACATTAGTTGTGTGCATACAATCTCCTCATCGATAGGGGCAATTTTCACACGGTTTTATAACCAATTTAGTGAGACTAGCCATAAAGTTATTCAAAACTGTACTACTGGAGCCTAATTGTGTTTGATTTGATTCCAGGCGGAACTATAACAGCCTTCCCCGTATAAGTGGCCCGAGGTATGAATCATTAAGTGATTAGGGGTTAGGCGTGTTTCCTCGATGCTTATCTTGGGAGGTCGGCTTACTTGCAGTTTACAAAACTTACCTTTCGGAATTGAAGGAACTCCAACACGCGTTGGACATTCTGAATGCAGTGAACCCGGGTGAGGCCATATTCAATGCTCTAAATGGTGGGAATTGACAATGGTGAAGATGCATCCGGAACGGCATTTCACATTCCTACGTCCTTTTCTCTAATCACGGACTATTTCAACACGCAGAAAGTAATTAATGCAGCTGATTGCTTATTGCAGCCATGTATTGTTTCCCAGTGAATAGATACCGAAAGGCGAGAGATATCAGTAGGTTGGTTGTGTTGTAACCACAAAACATTAGGCGGACGTTCAGTCTACGAAGTCGCAGCCTCTACAATGGATCTCTTCATCTTTCCAGTGTTCTTGGATTTTCAGCTCTCCTTTTTGACAATGCCATAGCTATTTATAGACTCCTATGATATATAACACTGGCGTTGCATTAACCACTTTTTCTACTAAAAACCTTCTAACGGTTTTACGAACAGGAGGTATCGCCCATACCCTATTATTCGCGCCTGGAAGAACAAATATGCAGCAAGGACTTGGTTTTTAGAACGTTTATGCGCAATTCTCCGCACCGTAAAGAAAGGTGAGTTAAGACTCCACAAGAAAACCAGTGAGAGGACAAGTGCAGAGCTGTGTGTTTATTTTAAAAACAAAAAACCGCCCAGATTTGCAGTACAAAGCTCAAATTGTTTTGCTTCCCTTCGCTTTTCTGGCGCAAGTAAGACACGCTTTAAACAAACAACGTTTCAGAATGTCACGTTTTACAGGAGTGAAGTAGTGTTGATGAAGTTGGATAAAAACAGGTGGAATCAAAATTTTGTTTCATGATTTTGCTCTGTGCATAAAATGCATAAAACCAGCATAACTTGACCTGCCATCCGGTTATAGCTTTCAGTACTTAGCTAGAGCAGCTACGGGGTAACGTGCGTGATCTTGACATTCCAAAATGCGAAGTTTATTGTAAAAAGATCCCGAAGAACTATGGAAAGAAGTTTATCACGTTAGGTCATTAAACTTTTTCCTTTTGGATGGCAACCACGGTCTAAGATGAATATAAAATAGATCCAGTAATAAAAATGGTTGCATACTTCCACAAAAGCAGTGCATTTGGACTGTTGAGTGGGATATTAAATTTGAGCTCAGTAAAGGGATAGTGGGATCAGTGAATCCAGAAGGCACAGATTACATATTTCTCTTACCAAGCTTTGACCCGACAGAATTTCGATGAGTTTGATCAGTAGGTGGCCACTCTGGAAGTCCCTGAATAGGTCATTTACAAAAAATCCGTGCTAAAATAGGAGATGGAGAGGGTTAAAACAGACGTTAACCAATAGGCAAGCATTCGGTGCTTGAAACCGAACAAAATCGGGAACTAGCATAAGCTGATGGACATAATAAGTAAAACTGACTTTAAATGATGAGAACAGGTTTAAAATGAGAAAGATTATCCTCAATGTTGTTAGATGGATATGAATATGCAACTTTCAAATAGTTAAAAGAGTTTACTACCGATCGACATAAATCATTCATGCGGAAGGCGACGTGAGTTTCTGAAGCGTTTTCACTATTCCCAGATTTTTTATTTGATAATGCATTCTTTTAAATCCAAAAGAAGACTGGTCAATTGTCTCAGAAAGTGATCAGTCAACGGCTAGACTGATGTCTCAATGCGTGGAAAAATATTAATTGTGGGTGTTTACTGCTATTCATCTGCTAACTTCGCCCACAAAGTGGTGCGGAGTAATCAGTCACTGATAGCATACTTTTTAAGGCATCAGGATTATCCATCATTGGTAGTTTTTACCTAAGGGAGGCAAATCGAATCCACACTCAGTTCCGCCTACAGCAGAACTGAATCTTCTGCCTTCTGATGATTCTTCTTGTGGACAAGTTAACGGAACCGGATTTGATAACCATAGGGACTTATTTAAAATGGGGCCAACAAACAGTGCATTCCATTAACTTTTTCAGTGTTTCAATGCCATGGGAGGAAGTCTAGAGAGCACCTGAAAACCCACCAACTCTACGCAACGCACACGAAGATAATGACGCCGGTTGTTCCGTTCACTCATGCTGATGGCATGCCTTTTTAACCACTTCAAAATTTGTGGCATTAACATGCTCAGTGGTTGAAGTTCAGTATTACCTCGTAAATGCGATGCCAAAACCACTTTTTTGCACACGCCTTGTCACGCCCTCATAAGCACACAGCACGATCGTGCTTGAATACACTACATTCTAGTAGAGGAGAGTGGGACACAGACCTAATCGATCATATTTACACTTCACAAAAACACTCTCCGACAGGTTACCGTCGAATAATGCTGCCACTTTGCTCTGGCCTTCTCCGCGCTGGGCATTTAAAAGACCAAAATGTGTACAGTCGATGCTTGACGTCCATTGGCCAATTAGCGTGCGTACGTGCCTCCTCAACACGTCCAGTTTCTGATCTAAGCCAAACCATGCGCGCTTGCACATGCCTGTGATAATTGGTAATGCCTAACACAATCATCGCTGTACCGAAGGAAAACCCTCTGTTTGAACAGGAATAGGTGAACCGGAGGGTCGTTTACTTAGGGTACATGGAACATCCCTATCCCGCCCTGTTGAGACAGGTAGATGAGCCTCTACACGTTTAAGGAAATGAACTGGGTGGCTTTCTTCTGAGAACACGAGCGGTTAGTGCGAACTACTTTATTACCCACCCTGACTTTGTGGCAGACATTCCATGTGGGAGACTACCGTAAAATAGGAAAACCCCACAAGTTTGTTTTACATATGTACACTCACGCACAGTCACAAAGAATAACAATAAATCTATTTACTTAATGCTGGCTTCGGGCCAAACTGCACAAAATAACGTCACTAGAGTGAGTTTTGAGAGCGGTTGCAGTAGTGATAATTAAGATGTCATGTTAAAGCAAATAATGGGATTCAACCGAGGTACACCAACCGCTGTGAATTGGATTTGTTGTGAACAAAAATACCCAACAAAAACATCATATGTCCCCAGTGCGTTGAGAGAAAAATCACTGTGCATACATGTCTACATTTGAAGCGGGAATCCGGTCTGAGAAGACCTAGTCACTCTCTCTGCTAGCCTAGCCATGCCCGATATAGGAGGAAATAAAGTTAATGTTTTACAGGTGATTCACAATCAGCCCTTGTTGTTGGGTGAATGGCAGCCTTATGGTCAGCTGCATTTCAGAGGCATAAAAAATAGACATTGTTGATTCGCTTTCAGACAAACCCAATATAAAAACAATTGAGTCAGAAGGATGGGAATTCGTACAGCAATTAAAGTTTTTGGAAGTGAAAAACGTAGCCTTCTAGAAAGCGATGAATCTATATGTCACTGCCCTATTTTAGCAGTTGTTTTAGGCGTGCAGTGAGGTAAGAGACACCTTCGCTCAGGTTTTACCTGACTGGGTTAATAAAAGATTAAATGCAAAGTGAAAAGCACTGAAAAGTGGTCTTGACTACGAAATTATAAAATTGCTAAAGGACCAAATGCATAGCGCTGAATTAAACAGAGTTGGTTTGAAAAACTCTCCAAAGCATTCCTTCTACCGACAATACACAAATGGGTCGAAGTTTTGTAAGTCATCAATAAATGCAAAACTTTTCATTATCTGCTGTTTGGCACCACTGAGGTGTGATCGTACTTCGGCAGAAAACAAAGATAGGAAAACGCCAGCTGCATTAGAGCCCACTTTTATCCATCACTTTGTTTACCACAACGCATTGAAGTAGGCCGGAGAATTTGTAAAGGTTTGATTATGAAACATGTCGACACTTTACCATCAGAACTGACTTATCACGGAGACTGAAATTCACCAATACGTGCTGAACCAGGGTGGGTAGAAATTAATTGTGCATCTGAGTTTGAAGCTCTAGTTATAAACGTGGGATGTTTACGATATAATTGCGCTAAATAAATTCCAACTATCCTATTTAACTATTTATTTTTTGTTTGAGAGCATAACTAAATAACGGCAAATCACAATTTAATTTTATCCAAAATCTGCCGTTCAAAATGATCGAAAGAGTTCTGAACAACCATTTATGGAGCACTAGTTTCATAATCCCCCAGCAAACCAAAAAAGGTTTTGCAAAAACAACAGAACTTAAAGTTATCCTTAGTTGTTGCTGTCATTTAATCACTTCGCAACGCTAATAAGTCCTCCTTAAGCAACATCAAAGCCTAAAATAGTGATCGAAGCAACTGGGCGATCTGACCGCTCCAACTGATTAGCAACGTTTTTTAGCATGTGGCACTTAACAGCTTGCCACTGAATCTTTAAAATATTTACTTCATCGAAGTGGTAGTAATCCAAAGAAAACTTGGAGTGTACAGCAAACAGCATAATTCCTTCTAATTTGAAAGGAAATAACCGTAGCTGCTTTGAAAATACAAGTACGGCAATATTTGAATATTTAGTCATACCAATTTAATCTTTTCGTGTTTGATATTCACTAAACTGAATGCATACTTAATAGACAAAACATTTTCACCTGAATCACATGGCTGGAGAATGCTAACACGCATTTAAGTAAGACATCAAACGAAATTGCAGGAAAAAACCCAAAAATTCCAGTTTAAGTGGGCTTATTAATTATAAAGGGTGTATCTTTAAAGGCATATATACCAAAACTACGGGTAATATAGCCGAATGTATAAAAAGTAATAAATCATCAAGGCTACATCCAACGCACCTCTGATAAATGTTTATTGACCCAAATTGTAAAAGCACGTTTTTGCATTGCATCTCGTTGATCTGCAATATTTAAAATGGTTTATACACCCTTATTTAGCACTATGTGTTAGAAGCTTTTGTTCTAGTAAACACAAATTTGCATTTAAAATTAAAGGTAATTGACTCACTGAGATAGATTTTACATATTGCACTAAATGAAGGCATAAAGTGCGCAACGCGGAATTAAAAATTAATCAAGGAAGTCGAATTTTAAAAGTTTAAGTGATAGATATACCTACATGAAAACACTAGAGTGACTATTTAAAAGGCACAGGTAGCACTTGCACGTTGGCAACACTAAGCAAAGCAGAAGTCAAAAATACATGGAAACAGGTATACACAGCCATATACCCATTAAAATTACCAGATAACAAAAAGCTAAAAACGCAACATTGATTCCCGAATAGTCATGTATTTGGCTCACCGGCAACACGAATCACTGCTCTATCGGCGGGGTCTAGCTGCATAATGGCAAGTGTTAACTTAATTTGCTCCAAATCCATCGGCTCGTTCGCAAATATGTCCATAGAATCTTCCACGCGTTCAAGATCATCATTCATATTAACTGTGCGAGAATAAGCAAGCAGAACCAAAATTGTAAAGCGCCCAAGGTTGTTTATGTTTACAGTTGATACAGTAAAACAGAAAAAGAGATCCAATGAACAAAGTGCTTTGCCAAAACAGCTACTAAAAAATTTTATTACAAGCTTACTGGCAAAAAATTGTTTTATTTTGCAGTAACAAAAATGGTATTATTGGCTAATCTTAATTTTTAAAAGAAAAAATGCTTGGTTGCTTTTCTTTTAAGAATAAATCAAAGTTGTGTGTAAAAGCTTTTTGCACTGTTTTGTAGTAAAATGATCAGCGTTACATAATTTTACTCCAAAGAACCTAAAAGTGTTGACTTCTGTTGAATTTTAATATACAAATCTGGTTGTTTAGCCAAACCAATTGACATAACAATGCGTTGTGCATCGTTAGCTATTACAACTTTTAGCCCACTTTATTTCGTTGTTGTTTCATGTTAACTGTAAGCATAATTTGTGATTGTTCCTTATCGTAGCACCTCATCGATATTAAAACTACTAAATGCGTCGTTAAAATGCTCATTTATGCGTATAAAGCCGGAGAAAAAGGGCCGTTTCAGTTACATTTTATACTTTTGCCAGAGGCAATATGATTGCTCTTTAAATATGTGTAGCTTCCCGAGACTTCCCTGTACCTGAAAGAAGCCATAATACTGTGGCGTCCCGAGACTTCCCTGAAGAAAAAAGAAGGCACAATACTCGGGCAGAATATATGCTCAGTACAGAGAAGGTGCTTGGGCTCCTGGCATGGCCCCAAGGCCAGCCCACTCAGCGAGGTACAAGAAGGCGTATTCAAAAGCACAAAAGTGGCGCCTCACCAATACCAAGGGATAAACCACCATTGTATTACAATACTGAGGGCAGAATATGTATTGTCGACATGAAGGCATACTAAAGGTTATTGGCATTGCCTGGGTTCATACCACCCGGCGAATTTGCAATCACGGAGCCCCTAAGGTGTACGTTACCAAATAGTTAAAGTATTGCACATTATGGTAATATCTTTACGATTCTCTAAATATAGACTTTATTGCAATTAACTGTTCCATACAAGCTGCGTCAATTTTGTTTACACCCTGGCTCCCGCATTTCTTCTTTACTAGTGAGTTGAGAGAAATGCCGATTACGTCCTCCTTCAGTTACCTTTACAATAACTTTCCAAAAAGTACACGGTAATCCACGTCACATTCTTTAGCATCACTTTGAGTAATCTTTCTTTTTCAAATTAGACTATAAGCTCGACTTTTTAGTCAAATATTATTGTCTAACGAAATAGCTTGTCGTCAGACAAATTTTGTGCTACCACTTATTTTAGACCACAGGGCAGTTAGTTCTTCAAAACTCGTGCTCTTCCACACCTCCTACATAAGAAATGCGCTGAAAACGTATTTCGTATAAAATTAAGGTGCTGTGTAATATGTTGAGCCTAAGATCCTTACTGTTTCCGGACCAAACTAGTGGGCTTGGCAGATTTCGTGCTAATATCACTTTTGTTTGCAATTGATTGTCTCAGCTGATAAGACTTGAATGCTCCTTAGGTTAGGTTTAATAAGTCATAAGGCTCAGTTAATAGTGAAGCCTCTTATAACGTTATATAGCGTAAATCTACTCGAAAATGCTCAGAGTAGTAGGCCACCTTATTTTTTTACTCTAAGTTTAACCCGGTCCTTGTACTTCCACTAGTCACTATGGCCTCCGGGCATGCTGATCGACTCAGCTCTTCTGTACCATAGTACTGCATTCTTCGCCATACCTCTATGACTTTATTTGACTCCAGGAAATATTTTGGTTGCTACTTTGACCGCCTACCCCGATTTTAACTACTTAGTGACAAGCCTTAACACGACTAACTTCAAAGAAAACGCTAAAATGACATCCAAGTTCCTTGTTCTACAGAAATACTGCAAACGGTTAAAGCGACGCTAGCCGTACACCATCTAAAAAGTTGGCTACAGAGCAGTCTGTGTTACTTGCATGAAAATTTCAATTAAGTGGACAGACAATAACAACTCTACATTGCCCTAGCTAAGAGAAGCAGAGAGATAGGAATAGGCTTCAACAAAGTGAAAAAACATAGCAATGAGGAGAGACATGACACCTTATCCCCACAAAAGCATTTTAACCCTATCCTTTATTATGCGACTCTGCTTTTATGCCAGTGTTCCCACGACTAGCGATAGCAGACAAGATGACAAGGGTAATCTAATTTTCTAATAAGGTTCCAAAACAGATCAAAATCCTGGACTAAGTGGAATTACCAGCAGGGATCTGCGGCGTTACTGTCAGATACCCTTGTAATGCGTTGGTGGTTTGAGTCTCAGTTTGGTGAGGAGCTACTTTTGACTTGACCATTGTACCACGCCAAGTGAACTGCACTTTGAGCCATGTCAGTAATTCCAGCACATTTTATTTGTCAAACATGTATTTTGACCGGGTATTATATCTTTTATCGTCTATAGGAAAGTCCCGGGATGCCAAAACCTCTCTCTTTCACACGAAATCTATGACTGATAAGTGGGCGGTTTTTCCTCAGGCCTGCCTACGTCGAAATAGCTAAAGCAAAAGCCTAACCAAAGAGACCGTCTGGATGACGCCTAAGATGAGAAGGGGTCATTTATGTACCATGCTATTTAACTCGGCCATCGTATTTCCGATAGACATCATGACCCATGAGCAATAACAATAGTCTCGGCTCCCCTTTACATTATTGGTTTTTATTTTATTATACTTTCACGGCCTCTCACAACTTCAGGAAAGTCTGGGAGTGCTACAGAGTGTCCTAAATCTGGAATTCTCAAAATACGAAATGGAGAATACATGTAGCGTCCCGAGACTCCCTAAAGACGAAAGAAGACACAATACTCGGGCAGAATGCACATATTCAGCACGGAGAAGGTGTCTGGGCTATTGGCATGGCCCAAAAGGCCAGCCCACCCAGCGAGGTACAAGGGGGCTAATTCCAAGTACAAAAGTGGCGCCTCACCAAAACCGAGGGATAAACCACTATCGCATTCCATACACGAATATTAAAATTTGGTCCATCTGCGCACAGCACCTGCCAGCTGTACACCCTTTACTCGGGTACTAAACATCAATGTTCTAAATTTTCATTACTAAATAAGTTCTGATCTCTTGCACAACGATGAGCTCATGGTAATTGTAAGCAAGTTACGTACCACAAGACGTCTCACAAAAGACAATCCATAATAGTACACACCGATGGACAATATAAGTACTGGCCAAATAAGACAATGATTACAAATCCTAATGTCTATGAACTGGCTGACACTCACAGACACTTGTTAAAATAATCATTTGTAGAAGCGGTAATTACGGCGTTGGCACAAACCAATCAACTTGTGACCTTGTCTTCATTTTTTGGAACAATGAGTACATCTCTTAATGCGGACAAATCTACTGAACAGGACTTCCTCAAAGAAACACGTTTTATAGGAAATTGTATGTATAAACAGGTTGCATCTCTCCTTAACGGTCTTCAGGAATGTCGTCAAAAAGGTCTATACACAGACGTGATTTTGTGTGCATCGGGGGAGGAGTTCCCTTGTCACAAGGTTGTGCTTGCCGCCAGCTCTCGTTATTTTAATGTAAGTTTAATCCCATTCTTTTAAAACCTGTTACCTGCACCCTACTTGGTTTTGCTCTAGCTGGGTGTCATTTTTTGCATATTTCAACGTCTCTTGCTTATTTTTGAAAGAATGGCTGTATACTGTAGGTGTTTGTAGACCATTTCTTTCACTGACACTGATCGCTCATTTCCTAGCTGGCTATGTCTTTTATACATCTTATCGGTAATTCTAACTACCGGCTTGAATCACATATATTTCCAAATAAAATCAACCACCTTTACCATTGCGCATTCGTTGGGTTCATTACTATCTTATCCGGTTATTTGAGTTTCTTGTAATTACTAGCGTTCAAAACTATCGCTTTTAACAACGCTGATTTAAAATTTGATGATCCTCTTTGGTGCATGATTTTGTATGGCGAATTGTGGTTAATCTTTCGGCGATTTCGAATAATATATGAAAACCCCTACAAGTACACTTCGGAAAGCAATCCATAGTAGCTTCAGCTACAGTAATTACCTTACTAAACATTGACATTCATTACTACTTTCCTGCTTGGTTTTGTCTTTGAAATTCTCAAAAGTTATCTTAGTCAGTCCTTCATACCTTCAAACAAGTGCGGTCTCCATTCCACATCTTGTTGTTTATTGTTTGCATGTTGTTTTGGCAACCCTGCATATAATGGCTTCATCAACTCATTTCTGATATATATACTATGACTAGGTGGTTTTGGGTCCGTTTCCACTAATTCATAGGTACATTTGCTCTATGAGGTTTTTCTGTCAAAGCAATGGGCTCATTCTTTCATGGGGATTCCTAACTAACGTTAGTGATTCCTTTTTCACCCCCTTCTTCAAAGGCCATGTTCCTAACCCCATTCGCGGAGCAACAGACGTCTCGAGTGAACTTGAAACAGGTCTCTCCCTGGGTGCTACGATACCTTATTGATTTCGCCTATACCGGTCGCTTGGCGCTCAGTACCACGGTAGTTCAGGACATCTTCGTCGGGGCCAACTTCCTCGATTACCCTTTGGCCGTCGAAGCCTGTATCGACTTCATGAAAAAGCACCTCCACATCTCCAACTGCCTCGGGGTTCAACTGCTGGCAGAGGTATATGAATTTCCCGATTTGGCCAAGAGTGCTCGTATCATGGCTGTGGAAAATTTCTCCAAGTAGGTCTTTTTCAGTCTCAGTTTGATTAGGAAGTTTAAAATGTTGCTAGATCATTACATGTCCAGCGTCTAGTTTAAAAGTAGCAATTTTTGTTACACGACTAATGAAAAACAGTATTACTCGGTCCGCGATGGGAAATCGACATTATTTCTCACTCAGCTCCTTTGCTTTGCCGATTGTTGATAGAACAATGCAGTACAATCCAAATGTGAAATTTAGATGAATCCATTACATCTATTTTACCTAATTGGTTCGTTGTTACCCAACTAAGTCGCATTTGGGGTCTTCTGCTGGACTTTTCGGGGTTAGGGTTGTTTACCACAACTGCATTTTCCAAATCGATTTGCTGTAGTTCATCGATGTTCAATTCAGAGATCTTTATGCGGCCAGGTTAAATCCACGCCACACTTTTCATTCTTAATTTCACAAAAGTCACTTTGACGGGAAGATAAACTTATGCAGAATCACATAACAAAGCATATACTTCTAACACTACTGGGGTGCCCCCACAATAGACATGCGACCTGGAACAATCATAACAAAATGTTATGGGGATAATGCTAAGGAAAATAGGAAATCTTAAGCTTTACTCCTACTGCTAATTAATATTTCTAGACGGTTAGCATCTTGTGATGTGACCTTATCCTTAACTTCCCTTATTAAATGAGGTAAACTATCAGCGATTACCGCTACATTTCTGTACAGAATTCGGCTTGAAAAACTTCATGACGATCTAGTGAAGCAAAACGTTTGTTATGAACTCCATTGTTTTAACAGTCTAGTGAATCCAGATGAGTCTATGATAGGCGAGTGGCTACAGCTTCCATTGAAAAGTGTGGAATCCTACCTCTCTGCTGACGACCTCGAGGTGCGCTCCGAGCGGGTAGTTCTGGAGGCCTGTCTGGCCTGGGTTGCGTACGACCCTGAGAAACGCATCTCCCATCTTCCTGGTCTCCTTCATCTCGTTCGACTTTACCAGCTTTCCCCTACCCTCCTCCGTACTTACACATCTTCTTCCAGCATTATTCACGTAAGCATTAGCCCGATTTTTAGTAAATTGCCCTATCTGACCGTAGATGATGGTTAGCTAGATAGCCTAATTTTTTCTAGTTCGTTTGTAGAATTCTACCGTTACTTATCGCTAGGTCATTAAATAAGTACATACCAGATCCAGGCGCCAAATTAGTGCCAGGTTTTTGGATGATTCCTTGATTATTTGCTTTAGGGAGTGGCTTGGATAAGTATCTAGTAAACTGTGGTTTACTCTCTTACTTACTTCCTTCACCCTTACTTGTTTTCGGTACAACATTTCTATTTGGCTCGTGTTTATCTTCGGATTTTCATCATTTGGCGATAGTTTTTGTAAAACAGTTAGTACGTGCTGTTTTGTAAGCACTCTTTTCTATCACGGAACCAGTGTACTAGCATCAACAACGAGACTTCCGTTGAGACGTAAACGTAACTAATGAACCCACAACTTGTTGGTTGATTTGCGATATTTCGTTCACCTTTTGGGAAAACCGCAAATCGGATGTTAGGAGGGGTAAATCTGAGAGCTAGATGATGTTTTACAGCAAATAAACTACTCTTTTGGATGTCTACAAGATGCAGATATCAGCAAGGCTAAAAACAAGAGCTTTGATCTGACTTTACAAAAAGTCGTAACTTATGGGACCTAATTACCTGCGTTTTGTACACATTATAGGAATCACCCACCGCTCTGTTGTATATTGAGCAAGTGATCAGCAGAATGGAGGGAAAGTGTGATCAACCAGTTTCTGTTGTCAACGGCAACACTAGCGCTGTCACTGCCGCATCACTTCTGCCTCGTCCCTCCACACTGAAGCGTCCCACTCTCGTTGCCGTCGGTGGAATCAATTCCACTTACATCTTAGACTCTGTGGACGCCTTTTCTTTCGTTCGTGGACGGTGTCTTCCCTGTCCACCGATGCCCGTGAGCAGTCTGACTTGGTTTTCTGCTGCGGTGGCTGACAATACTCTCGTCATTACCGGTGGCATTCATGTGAGTGTGACCGCCTTGATTGAACTTTTAGCTAAGCTGCTTTGCTCTATACCGGTTTTCCATTTTTGCTAGAATTCAAAGACTAAACAATCGTACCTTTGCAAACGTTTCCGTCAACTGAATAACTTAGATTCCGCTTAATGCGGAATGGATTTCATTCTATCAAATTCAAATTCAACACGCTACATGGCAAATGATTGTTAATTTCTAGGGTTTGTGACTAAATACACAAACTTTCGCGTACCGTTTCACGTATGTTTTTCATGCGAGATTACCTTTCAATGTGATCTGACTTGGTGCCCGACTACGGTGTACACTACTGGGCTGTGAAAATGAATTGGTTTTAAGCGTTATCTCATTTCCAGTTCCATATTTCTGTTTAGTCTCTTTTATGTCTAATTTGCAATATTCTCTATTTCACTCATCCGAGGCAGGCAAAAGAATATAATTAGCCTTCTGGATTATACTGCAGCAGACTCCATATGGGTTTTGGCAATTTCAGTTGTTGGATCAAGGTCTGGTGGCGGCTTATCTTCTTCCAGTCAATATTATCGAGACGGATGATTAATGAGTAAACGCACTTGTCCTTGAAGTTCGAGAACTCCTCGTCACCTTATTTAGTAGCGGCTACCCGATGTGCGGTAGTATTTTCATTTTCAATCTTATCATTATCCCCTCTTCTCTCAGGCTGGGGAAATAGTCTCGACAGTTTATCGATTCAGTGTGGAGGAGAACACATGGAACCAGGGTCGAAGCATGCCCATTGCACGAGCCCGTCACACCTCCGTGGCAGTCCGCGGCGGCCATGTCTTCCTTTTCGGTGGCGTAACAGTTGTCCCGGCAACAACTCCCTTTCCTGAATCCTCCGAGCAGAGCGGACAAACGGAGGTAGCGGTGGAGGGAGTTGAGGCGGGCAACTCATGGGGTAGTGAGGTTCCCGATCTCCTCCTAGTGGACTCTATTGATCGATACGATGTGTGGCGGGATGAGTGGACCACAGTGGGGCGTTCGCGATATCCGCGACAAATGTCCTCTGTCGCTGTTGTCTCGCCTCTGCAGGTGACCGAGGGGTCCCCGCCTCAGATGAGTAAGACATTCGTAGATTGATTTGGTGGCTCACCACTGGGATTTAAATTGTGGTCTTTCTGAAGTCGCTAATAAATTTTGGAATGATTCTTGAGCTAGGCCATTGAGGCAATGTGAAATGGAAGACATTGACATTGTACCACTGTCAAATTCTTTTTTGAAGATGGGAAAAGTTGCCATCTACATCGCGTCGAGTTGCCATTAGTTTAGTAATAGAGTTCCTGAGTACTTACATGACCTGTGTGAATGAGTATACAGTGATTAGATTTAAAGCGACGTACGCTCCATTGTGAAATTGAAATGTTGAGTGGAGGGTGTAGATGGCTTAAATGGGTGAGTTTCGATACTTTTTGATCGTATAATCAGTTGGCTGAAACAGTGCCAAGATAACAGGCTTAGCTGCAGTCGGAAATTATGCCATCAAGCATGAAATGTCCGGTTTAAAATGAAGTGTTTTTTTTTTCACTTTTATCCTGAACAGGAAGTGGTGTAAATAGTCACAAGTGCCATCAACAACCCTACCCCGTCGTTTTAGTGGTAATTTGTTTGCTGAGGCAAAGACGGATGACAAGCTGCCAGATGATCTGACTTCTAACTCTCCTTTAGTCTCTGCAGCAGGAGCTTTAAGCTCTTGTAAATTTGGTGGAAGGATAACTGGATAAGGTCATACTGCCAAAGTGAGCGTATTTCAAGACTCATTCACCTCTCTGGCTGTCTTTGAACGCTCTTTTAAAGTCACGATTTTTTGCCATCCATGTCGTGCCTCGCGTTCATCAGTCATAGCCTCATCAAATATCGTACTTCATTTTTGAATGCGCCATGACTTTATACGTCTGTATTGGAGTAGATCATTGGAAGGATTGTTTTTAAAAATTAAAACGTTGTTTTTTTCTTTAAACGGCATTTTCTGGAAAGATCGGGCACCTCATACTCACTGAAGTGATCCTTCGTTAGTGATATAGTCTGACGTCGTGTTGGTTATGATAGACTAGGCCTGGTTGTGCATGTAATACGTGCTTCCATTGTAGTCGGAGAGCGAGAATCAGATGTCTGTGCAAATGCACCAACCCACACAGTAGTGGAGTTGGGCGGCACTCTCGATGTGGAGTCGGACTTGATATCCGAAAAGATGGCCATCTACCACATCAAGCCCGACCTCTGTGTCGACTCGGCGGATGATTATATCGCCCTTCTGCGGCCAGTGCGCTACGCCAAGTGCGTCACCAACCAGGTCTGTCATTTTCAGACATCGTCTCTTGTGTATGCTCTTTGGTAATACATGTGTCCTCTCACTGTCCTAAAGTCGTGAACTCACCTAGGTTACATGGATACTGAACTCAGAGATCATGCCTTTGTACGATTTGATCTTGTTTACCTCCCGCACTCTCTGGCAAAGTTAATTAGCCTTTCGCTTAGTTTGCAACCTTCGACGCAGACGTTGGCAGTCCATGCCTGTATTCAAGTAAGCTATTTACCTCTGAAGTTGTTACAAAACCGTTACAATAACACTAAATGTGTAGGAATCGGTAAATTACCTTGGCCTCGTCAGTAAAGTGCTGGTCAGCACGCTACTTTCTGCTCTTATTCCAAGAGACATCGCCGACGACATCCAAGTTCATTGATGAGGTTAAGGTTTTCACTTTTAAATTCTGATTAACTTTAAAGATTTCAACAGTATTTTTTTCTCAGGTTCTGTGTAAGGAGGTTGTTAAAGTAGGCTCATAGGTTCCCTTTCTATTTCACTATTGTTTCGTTTCCTTGCTACATGGAATGGGAATGTCTTTCCAGCCTTTCCTTTTGTACATTCGTCGATGTACTTTTCACTTACGTGATCAACTTAACAGATTTCTTGCTGTACCTTGTGTGTAGTGTGTAGTTATAAGCCTCTACACAGGTTTTGCTCACTGTACTAAGCCTGTTCTTATGCTGACATTTGAAAAGTTGAAATAAACTCCCGTAATTTTCTTCATAAAGCTGATTATCATTCCTAATCTTATAATTAATAGGAGTAATAAATGGGGAAACTGCCTGTTGTTTTCACCTGAAAAGGTTGAATTAGTGTATTGCTCGACTTAATGCTAATGCTACTTCTATCACCACAAGCTATGTAGCAGCAAAAGCAGAAAGTTTTCGATTTTGAGCAACATCATACTCCGATCAGTCTAATCATTCCCAGATTTTTCATACCTTAGGCTCAGATACTAACTCGATATGCCCAACTTTGACGCTTATCTTGAGCGAAATTTTCGGAGGAAAACTTACTGGCCAACTAGTTTTGATTGCAATCATGCGAATGTGAAATCAGTAGTGTAATTGAAGCTAAAGAGAAATAGTTTTCCGCTGTTACTACTCCTGTGTGCAATAACAACCGCTTCCTAGCAAAAGACGAATTTTGAGCTATCCCTACTTGGCTACAAATACTTCCCAGTTTAATAGTAGCCATAGTCAGTGACAAATTTCACAGTTAAAATGGACGCTTTTCCACTTTACCGCAGTTGGGGAATTTAGTGTACATATTCTGGGAGGCAAGTGGTGAACTCTCGGTGTTGGATTTCCATCGTCAATCGTTGCGCACCCTGCGGTCTCTTACGGAGGCGGGACGGTCAGATGGCGGCTACTGTGCTGTCCACTGCGGCTGCGCGTGGGTCGACGGGCACCTTTACGTCGTTGGCGGATTTAGCGCTTTTCTGGGTGCTAATCAAAAACGTCCCATCGCTCCCCGACACTCCATCCACTGCTACGATCCCTGCACAGATGCCTGGTCAGTTTTCGGTCCTCATTACGCGCTCGCTGCTTATCACATCGCTTGGTACAAATAGAGCCCATTTATCTGCTTGTTGGCTTTTACTATAATAAGTATTTTTAAGTTCATGTAAGAAAAAACAAGTTTTGTCGTCATATTCCCCTTCTTTTTTGCATTTCTATACTTATCTAGGCGTTTACCTGGTGCCTAGGAGATCCTGACATCAAAAAACTTGTCATTACCGGTTATGAATACACATTCTTGGGCTACTCTTTGCTATTCTTTGTTCTGCAATAGTAGTATATGCCCAGGTTTCTTTGGGTGTAGTGGTGAGACCCGGGAAATTCTGATCTTCACTCCACACTTCTGCGTTGGTCAAAAGCATCATATTGCTTTAACAACCATTGCGCATTACTTCTTGGAATTACGCATAGCTGTGAAACGCTGCCCTTCCAAAAAGATTAGTCTTGTTCAATGACATGACTGATTATCCAACGATCAGGCGTTCCACGTGCTGAATGTGTTCGTGGGAGTATCGCTGGAGGGCGTCGGGCCCTCTTTGAAAAGTTTGCACCGACTTGCAATGCTATCACCATATTCCTGTGCCTGAAGTCTTCTGTACAAGTGGACGTTTGAGTGTTTCCTGTTTTGGTTCGCAACAAACTTCGTTTGGCACATGCTGTTGCATACATGTGCTACCCCTGATACTTGTCACTCACGGTCCATCCCTTTAATTGCTCTAAAATCAGAACCTCGAATTTTTCATGGAAACATCTTGCAAGTAACAGTTTTTCTTACCAACAGTGTCTACTCGGTCGATTTATCAACTTATTTTAATACTGCCGCTGCTATCTGATAATTACTAGGCGTCATGCTTTCACCCCATACGAACTTATCTATTGACACCCCAATACAACCTTTTTGGGAGGGAAGCGTTCAAAATGTTCAGGATGGCACGATTTTTTATTTCCTGTTTTTAAATCTTCCAATAGAAATTGCTCTTACCTTGGTTTAATTAATTAGTTCCTCTTCTGATGTTACTAAAGTCTATTCGAAATAAGCCTACATTCAAAACATGCATTTAAACTGTAGCCATGTGCAGGGTAACATTCTGCTTTTGCCTTGTTTCATGACTTTTGATGCAGTTTCGTAGTTCTTTCATAGTACTTTTTTGTTTTAGCAGTTGATAGTTGATGGGCATGTTTTACAATGCTACTATTCTAAGCCACTTTCTCCTGCGGTCATTAGGTCGGAGATTTCGATTTTCAAAGACGAACAGGCAACTTCGGCACGGGCAATTTGTGGCTGTGTTTCCTTGGAAATGTGACCGACGTCGTGACTACTACTTCTGTTACTACACCACAGGCTTTTCACTCGGGGTTTTGTGTTAATTTCATCCCCTTCCTTTGTTCACTACATCACTTCCTTTACGCTTATTTTTACTTGTACATAAAATTCAATCTCGTTTCCTTATGATATTTTTTGATGTTTCGATTGATTTAACATTTTGAAATGAGCCTTGGGAGCGTATCTGGTGGCTCTCTCGTATACTGGTTATAGGGCAGTGGTTGAATACTATTGAATGGCATGTTTCAGGACTTCCAGTCTTCTCAATCTGGAAATTAAGAAGGATGGCAATGGGAGCAGTCGCCATGAGAACGCGTTATCCTATAGTGGAGCTTAAAGCCCTGGGCCGGTTCCTTATCTGTTGCAGATGGCGATGGGATCGGGGACTTTGTCATTAGTCAAGCCGCCTTTATTAGATTTGTGTGGGACGTAGTGTACTAAACGGAAACTAGCTACGTATAGACAAATGGGGAACCCCTTTGAAGGATTGGAAGTTCCTGCACTAGGGAATGCAACGGTGCCCGCTTAAGCACGAGGTACGCGGAGCTGTCCTCAATGCAATTTTAAGTGTGTAAGGAAGTCTAATCAGTCGCATATCTTGTAGGATATATAGTTAAAAGGTCTATGCCTTTGAGTTCTGGTTGAGTATCTGTAACATTCGTTTTATTCATTAGTCAATGGAAGACAAGCAAATGAAATTGTGATAATTAAAAACATCTGCAAATGGAACCCATAGTCCACGCATTAAAATAATAGTCTTTTGCGCTCATGTGGTGTGCCAAATTTTTGGAACAAGAATATTTATTAATAAACTAGACAGATGCAGCAATTCGTTTGAATGTTTAAAGAACTCCTAAGTTGGAAAACTTATGAAATTGAAGGTCATGCAGGGACCGCAGTCCTCGAGATCTTGCATTGCTAATTTGGCATTGATAAGTAAGCATGCAAGTTGTGTTTCTGCACAAACATTCGTGTTTTTTATCAAATTGTCATTATCTCTAATTTCTTTACAGCTCTGAAGCGAAGTTTTTGCACTATACTGGAACTAATTGATGCAAACGCAAAATTTGCCGTACTATCGTTAATTTTTGTGCACGTAAAGGTGACTTCTTGGTATTCCAGTAGTTTAGCTTTTAAAGTGACGGGTTATATTAATTTCCCTTTTAGAAAACTTAAGTATGGGTTATACATTGTTTGTTCACACTGTGTCAAACGGATACGTTTTTGATTCCCAAAACTGTGACTGATTCATCTAGACTTTTGCTTCTTGATGCGTGGTCCAAGTCCTACTCACCCATATTACGAACATTTTTGTCAATATACACATGTAGGATTAAAAAGCGCAAATAAATGATTTAAATGGCAAATTCTAACTGACCTAAGTCGATTTTGATTCGCTAACTTAACCATTTTATAGTGCTGTATTCTCGTTTTTTTGACTCTTTGTGGGCAAAGACCCAAAATAATTTATGACTTAGCAATAACCAAGTATTCAAAATGAAGTTGAATTCCTATGTTTAAACTGTTTACCACAGTTGTTCTTTTGGCTTTTTTTACATTGTAGCATTTAAATGTAACTTCTTTTACTACTGTTCTAAATTTATGAGAACAAGGACAAAATGCGATTTTAGTGCGGCTTTAGTAAGACTGTGGAAAGAGAAACAATTATTATAGTGTACTTTTTGCAAATGCTCTTTAAATCCAGTCGGTGGTTTACATTATAAATGACATAGCACTTCAACACTCAGCTGCAAATGCTTAGTAAGCTTACATTCATTTAGGTAAAAACCAAATCTGTTGCAACAGGAACCGACAAAATCGAACAACTACCGCTATTGCTCTACTTAAACTCAGCAATTTTCAATTATTATCAACATTTGCATAGCAGGAGTTATGTCCCCTTAATTCATTTAAGCATTACTCCAATCTCGTAGCTATTAATTTTATTACTATTGTGTCCAAGCCTGCTTGAACCGGGCATGGATGATGCTCTTCAGCTCTACAGCTAAGCGTTGTTCTGATTGGCCCTCCATCCTCGCGTGTCCAGCTTCGCTAAGTGGGAGCCCTGTTTGTTGATTCCCATTCACATTATCCTGCCTGTCGCAATCAACTGCGAACGCAAGTATATCTTTTTCTACCTTGCTCTCTTTTCAAATATGAATTTCATGCACAACGGTATGGTTGTACGCGTTTGCTCAGCTTCCATACAGTCTCGGATTTCATTCATGAGCTTACCGCTGGACCGCTACCGGGATAGGTTATTTGGTTTTCGGAGAAAGTGTTGCTTTTTATCTTGTGACACCGTTTTTACTAAAATAAACAGCCAGTTCTCTTGGAAATATTGCATGGCGTATTAATAAATAATTTGGAAAGATTTTGGCGCACTTTAACTTTTTTGTGGATTTGAAAAGTGAGGTCTTCTTGGCGACGTTAAAACGAGATGCTGAAGATCGATTACAGGCTTTGTAACTAAGTTTACTTAAACATTACATGCTGACAAAAGTGAAACAATATGTCAATTTCTAATTGTACGCTGAGGAATTCATAACTTATGAAGGGTTGTACGACTGCGAATGGTTAATGCTTGTTTATTTTTAAAGTTTACTTCAATCCGTCTCTTGTTTTCTTTAAAAGAAGTCTGCAATACCTTCAGTGATTAAGTAATTTAGTATAGGCACATGTGTGAGCCCTGAAATGTACAATGCATCATAAGGAATCCTTGGTTTTGTGGTTTTTTTAAAGTGCCTCTCCGTCCTAGGGTCGTTTTTTCTTACTTGAATGGAATGTCAGATCAGTTGTGTCATGCCGCCCTAACTTATACGTAGTTATGCGTTCACCTCTATACCCATACCATTGCTGTCCGTTGATGTGATAAGCATGCAATGTATCTGGGAACCTAACAAAGCTGAGGCACATATGGAAGGCGTCAAAGTCGTTGGATAGTACCTCATCCCTATCACTTCATTCCTCCTGTGGTCCGTAATTGGTGCTTGAGTGGATAGGTGGACAAATAGTGGGTCGGTTCGTCCACACCGTGTCAAATTTAGTCTTGCTAAAAATAATCCCAAATGTTAGGTCTCAATGCATTGGGCAGTCACCATTTCTTTCCTCTTTCCATGCTTACTTTGCAAATGACTAATCTCTGAAAGACAGCTACTGACTTTTAAGTACTGCACATCATTTGGTCGTTTTCATCTCACAATATTCACCAAAACATTACTCTTTGTTATGGTTGAAGTTCTCGCTTTGCAGTTAAAAACATTAGTTAAAGTTTTGCACCTCAACCAACAGATTCATAAATCTGCTTCCAGAATCTTGGACACTTTTTTTAGTCCGACAAGGAAGGAAAGTAAATTTTGTCCCCCAAAATCCACTGTTGCTCAAGTGGTGACAAAGTTGTTAATTTTATGATGTCATCTTTGAAGTGAGTTAATTTTAGATTGAAGCCGAAAATCCAATATGAATTTAGGAGTAGACTTTAGGAAGGTTATTTATTTAAAAAAGTTGTAAGATTTTATGCAGCAGCCTTCTCGTTGCCAAATGCAACTTGTTTCGAGAATAGAATGCTTCTTTTATTTGTTTTTTAGCCTCTAAGGTGGGCTGTCTGTTTTTCAGTTATCAGCGAAACTAGGCTTCAATGAGTTTTTATGACTCACCTTTGGATGAACCCACGCTCTTTTAAATGATGTCAGTCAAAAGATGAAATCACTTCTTCTCTAGCCGGATTTTTCATTTAATCACTCATCATGGAGAAAAATTGGCTCTCAGATCTAACCGAGGATAACCGTGTTTATTTTTACCAGCTTAGGCATTAAACACTTGGTTAAATTAATTATTACTACAAATTTGCTGGGTTGGTCGAATTTAATACTTTGAATTAGGAGAAAACTATAGTCATTGGTGACTTGAGCCTCTTAAAAATTAATTTTCAGCACACGAAGTGCATCACCTATTTTGTGAAGCAGCGACTATGCAAGTGTAGCGCTTGGAGTCCTTCATGAAGACCAAAGAAGACAATACCAAAGCTGGTCATGTATTGTCGACACACAGAAGGACCGAGTGGATACTGTCATGATCAAGAGGCCATGCCGCTTTACAGAAGTACAAAGGCAGAGCCGCAAGTGCCCACAAAATCAAAACGATGCGTTCAACAAATTACACAAGTTCCGCGTTTCACAATAAGTTGACCTTATTATTCCTTGATTTTGTGTGGGTGTTTACGAGAGGCCCTAGTGAGGGTGCAAAGCGACAGTTTTAGAATTTCTTTGAGGTCCATGTTACCATTTCCCATGTATACTATGAGCGCTCTTGTCGTCTGGCTACACCTCTTAAATAAATCATTCACAAATACTTATTTTGTAAATCAAGTGAGGCATTTTAGTGAAAAAATATAGTTACACTTTTATTGGTTCCAGTGGAATGTCTGACTCGAAATATTTTACAAAGTCCGCTATCCGAGCGCTACTAACTAATTATACGCTTTGTTTGACTGGGTACACGGTCGAACAATTCTTTTGACAAACAGTTTTATTGTTTTCATGATGAAAGTGGCATAAATGAATGGGTTCGAACTCAAACTTATTTCCTTTACATATGTCATGATTATAAAAGAGCACAGCTTTCCCACTCGCCTTATTTCGTACTTATAATGGGATGAGTTTGGCGAATTCTGCCTATCTCACACATGAGTCACAAATGCACCGAGGTCATCCTGCGCTTTAGTACACGCAAGATTTAAGGAAAGTAAAATCCTTACTGGTCGTATATCTTTCTACTAACTCGTCCGTCGTACGCACAAGACTATCCATTGTAACTTCAAAATATTTTTCCAAGGTTGATGTGGGAACTTTTCCGCAGTTACTTCTCCCAAATGTTATTTCAATGCTAAGAAAATTCTAGGAGCTGTCATTTGTATTCCTTTTAAATGTGCCAACTTCGTTGTGGTGCATGAGTCGACAAAAGATACGGCGGAGAGGTAGTGTCGAAATTGTTCTAACTGAAGTGAATAGGATAGCGCAGTGTGTTTTTCAAAATGCCTAATTGTTGCTAGCGTAAATGTTGCTTATTTTATGAGAAAATTACATTCTTTTGCTGAGTAATATCGGAAGTGGTCACGCCGTGCAGTGCCCAGGTTACTCGTCATCGGTATCCCATCAAGCGTAGCGCATTTGCACAACTCATTGAGTCAGTCAGTCAAGTTGTAAGGGAGGCCGAGGCGAATTCAAAAAACTATCTTCAATGTTCGTCTAGCGCATCTTGCAGGCGAAAGTATTTCCAAATTTCTCAAATTTTGCAAATTCCTAGGTGGATAAACTCGATAAATAAAATTTTCTGGATGAAGTTACCATAAATAGTATTGTAGTATCCAAGTGACAAGAAAGCGCAAGGGTTCTTCGTTTATCATGCGTTATTTTTGGAAACAACCTGGAATTTCTTTAGTATTTATAACACAAAATCCAGAGTTTTTAGACGCTCTAGTAATGGCTGAGTGGGTATATATTAGTAAAAATTAGGGTGGGAAAATTTGAAATCGTAGCCTTATCGAAATCTACAATTCGGCAATTGTTAACGATTTGGAATGTCGTTACATTGCCAGTAAAAGATACTATCTTCAATTTATTTGAGGTAAATTAAAATATTTTTGAGTCGTTTGCCAATCAGTTGGGCTCGTTTTAGATTATATCTCCTTGTTTGACAGGCTGTTGGCATCTTATGATGGCTTAACGATATTTTTCCTCAAGGCGGATGCGGCATAGCCATATTGTAAATAGATGGCATTTTCTGCAAACCAAGCAAAAATACATTTGACATTTCTCCTCATTTATTCAGACAATGAAAATTCCGATAACCACTGTCTGCCCGATGTCTAGTTTAGGTTTGGGATTTTGCGCTATTGTTTTCTCAACCGGCGGATAGTGCTACCACCATCCAAACTATGTGCCTACACTAACGCTCATAACTTAGCTTTGACGTCTTGACAATGGCTCGCTTGTGCTTGTTTTATTAGAAAAACCTCAAAAGTAGCCGACGACGAAATAGCAATACACAAATTCCACTGATTGTTTTATCATTTAGAGGTGAATTAATCTCATAATGGTGTAAAGTTGGAATTATGAATGGGTTTTATTTACATTTTGGTAATTGAAATAGTGTCTTGAAACCAAATTGCACTTGCCTGATCCCATTCGGCCACATTTGGCAGGGCTTCACTTCATTTTGGTGGGTAATACAAATCTGAGGCTTGACAGCTAAGTGAAGCCTCCCAGTTTTTTGATAAATATTCCGACGCAAAGTGTGTTTATGCTATTTCTCACGGTCCTTGTGTCCAACTTTTAAAATATTTTGACGAGAAACTGCCGCGAGTCAGCACACATAAGAGCGCGGCCTGTTGACAGTTTTATTTCCGATAGTTCAACCTCAAGGTTAATTTATTTCTGTCACTCCGACCGCTCATTCGTTTTTATTCACCTTGCCCTCAGGTCGCCCTCCCATTTGCACCAGTTTCAAGCGTCAAATCAGTAGAGTGGAACAAAGCAATTTAACCATCAATGCAGCTTTAACATTAAATTAATCTCGAAGTGACATTCCAGATCGCCTGTTTTGCTTCAGTGGTTAAGTAACAAACTTCTTTTATGGACCAGTTTTTTTTAAATCCTAATTTCGCAAAACTTCTCTTAGAATAAATACTTCATGGATCCAAAAGTTTTTCCTTTAAAATGCCGACTTTGCATCTCTGACACAGTGAAAATTTCAAATCAAACTGCCTGAGATAACAACTTTGAAGTTTAATGGTGCAACTCATCCCAATGGTCTAGTGCAAAAATCCCATCGTGTAGCTCACTGAATGTTTAAAACAATGGCTTATTTCAACGATTATGGTGCATATAGAAGTGGTGATCAAGAAAAAGCGAAGCTCCTCCACTCAAACCTTACGAACCTTATTTTGCCAGATAGCTATAATTAAACTATGAATAGAGCATGAAGAACATTGTTTGCGCTAAATTTTTAGGTAGACTGAAGCATTTCCTGTATAGCTCGTGATAGTAAAATACATTCACTTAATCATTGCATTCTGGATGAATAGAAATATTATTTCTTTCACTAGGTTCCTGACTGAGTTTTATGCATTCAAATGGGGCGTAAGAGTATGCTGAAATGGGGTTGTGAGGAGTGGTTTTATCGAATTGTTGCCTTTAACGTCTGACTTGATGTCAAAAGTGTCTAATCGCGTTGATGCCCACTTGGGCCTGTCCTCACTCTGTGTGGCAAATGCAGGTCTTTTCCTCATTGTCTAGAGTAGGTTACAAATTGTGTGGAAATACTAAGTATGGCAATTTAGAGGTAGACACTTGAAGATGTGTCATCTTTCATAATTAAATGTACGAGTACGAGGCATCTCTGCCCATACCCTTAAATTTTCCCTTTAAAAAGGCACTAATCAGAGACGTATTCAGTGACTTTAGGCATAAATTCAGTTTCCTGAAACGAAATTCCAAGATTACAGAGATAATCAGGTCTTAGTTTTAGTTTAGACAAACATCCACTTTCTTGTAACTAATGCGAATTTAAAATGGCTTTTAGAAGGAAGCTTTTAAAATGGGTCATTAGCAAAAATAGTAGCAGTTAAAAAGGCATCAAGTTTATTTTGGCACGGAAACGCCCGTGACCATGAGTGATGCATGGGTGTGTGACAAGACCAACTGAATATACCGAACTAAGAAATATGTATTTCCTGTGCCCCAGACTTACATTGGTTGACATTGCGTATAAGAATCCCTTCCAACTGACTGAAATGTCAGTAGTTTACTACGATTTAAGGTAAGAGTTAGTGACATTTGTGGTACTTCCATATTCATGTTCGTCACATTCTTGTTTATCAAGAATAAACCTTTAGGAAATTCAATCAAAAAAGTCTTCCACAATTGCACCATTACCTTAACCAATTATTTTTTTCCAGATCTCCCACTTTCATGCCGTTTGTTACCATAACTGCAACTGGGACTAAGAGGAGTTACATGATTCAAACCCTCGATTTGATTTATACTTTTGGATAGAACCATTCCAACTACAAGTGTTCCAAACAGATCCTAACCAATAGAATAAGCGAACTGACCCCTTCGTTTTAATTGGGATATGCGTTAAATGAAGTTAAATCTCGATGATGTCTCCTGTAGAACATGGAATAAGCCCTGAGAAATTCAACGGAGGATATACACCATGAGCAGTAGTCAAGGCAAGAAACACACCACGACCTCAAACAAGAGCATTAACGACACCACCCCCACCGCCGGCGCTACCGCGATGGCCAGCACCAAGGCGTCCTCTGAAAAGTTGTCACGCCCCTCACACCTCGCATCCACGCCGGACTCAACTCAACGTACAAAGAAAGTGAGTTCTCGACGCGCTACTACGACAACAACTGAAGTCAAAACCTCCTTCCCCGACTCTGACACCGAGCCCAGTGACATCTCTACCGCATCCTCTTCTTCCTCTTCCTCCTCTGCTGCGGCAATTAATCGAATACCCTCAGAAATGCAGTCCTCCGTGACTAGTGAGTACCGTGTCTCCTCCACTTCAGCCGAACTGCTCCCTGCTTCGTTAGACGACACTTCTACGCCAACAAACGACGTGAAAGAAGAGTTGGGGGAAAAGGAGAAGGGGACGGAAGTTGAAAATTCGCATCCGAAGACTCTGGAGAGTGAAGGATTCATTAATACGACAAATTCCAGTGCGGTGGCAGTGGGAGAGGACACGGGCACAAATTTGATTGTCAACTACTTGCCGCAGAATATGACCCAAGAGGAGATCAAAAGCCTATTCTCTAGCATAGGCGAGGTGGAGAGCTGCAAACTCATTCGCGATAAGTCTACATGTGAGTTTCGTGAAAGCGACACTGGGACCATTTTTTGAAGGAAGATTTTTTTTAGCACTCCAAGTCGCCACCTTAATTCCTGCGCTCTCTTTGATTTGTGGTTTTGCCCTGGCCCACCATTATTTTTCGCTTATCTACTTTGACTTTTAAAATAAGTCATTAGCAGAAATAGTTGCAATTGAAAAAAGTTTATTTTGGCACGAAAACACCCATGCTGATGCAGTACGTATTGGGTGTGACAGGACTGGCTAAAAATATCAAACTAAATAATATACAATTTGTATTTTAAGCCTACATTGGCTGACGTTGTCCATAAAAATTCCTTTTACCTTAATTCATACAAATTGCCTAAAGCATTTTAAATGAAGTAAAATAACAACACTGGTTAAGTGTTACTATCGTTGCGGTGTTTTGTAGACTTGGCGGAGGACTATTTACTAAATTCGTTACTAATCTCAAGTATTGTCATGTGTGGTTATCACTGCCACCTTTGTCTATACGCCTCTCGCATGTATCCCAAGCAGTCTGCTTCGATTCTTTCAAATCGGGGGAACTGGTAGGAAAAACGATGGAGATAAGATTCTAACATTTCACCCTGTAAAACCCTGTTAACAACTGAAAAGACGTTCCCAGGGTAAATGCATAGATTATGGGATTGGTGATCCTGTTTCATGCAACTTTTGTGTGGGATGGCATGCAGTCGTCACGAGTGTTATGTTTACTAAAACGGAGACGTTTTTTGAAATGCCCTACCAAGCTTTAGGCGTTTAAGGCCGATGACTAAGGGGACACAAGTAACAGGCGTTTCAATAATTTATGATGCATTCAGAATTTCTATGCCTAAAAGCAAACAAGAATGTATAAATTGAGGCTTTTTTCAATTAAGTTAATTTTCAACTAGCGTGTAAATCAATTTTTTATATCATCTTCGGAATTGAGAGTTGTGATTTATTTGTCCTTTTCATGATGCTTTATTTGCATCGTCGTTTATTCTTGAACCAGAGAAACCAGAAGTGCTGAGTATTTTATCAAGCAACGAGTCATGGTGAAACCTTTGGATAGTTATGACCGAGTAAATTCTGCGTTTTGGCTTTCTGGAGCTAAAACGCTGCGAGCTCAAAGCTTATCTTAGAATGGATTATCCCTAAATAGAACCATGCTTACACAACAAGTGTTAACTACTCCATGCAAATTATTGCAATACTCGAAGCTATTTAAGTTTTTAAATAAAAAAATATGAAGTCAGAAGTTTATTTACTTTTCAAAGTTGTTGATGTAGCGACCCGAGTCTTTCTTGTCTTCGAAAGAAGTCATAATACTAGGACAGAAAATGTCTTACCGATGTGGCCTGGCCTTAAGGCCTTGTCGCCCAGCGAATTTACAATCGCGGAGCCGTAAGCGCCCGTGGAACGTAAACGAAGAGCCGAAATAATAATATAGACTGTTACACTTCAAATGACGACAATGTCCTATCTCGTTTATTCAATCTATCTGGTCAGAGGAGCAATTACTTAAACTTCGGCTTCTGTATTATGTGACAAATGAAATCAAATCGTCTTAAACATACGTGCAGGTGATTTACCAGTCTTTTTTGAGGCAATCCGGTAATGCTAAAAAGTACTCTCAATTCAATGTCGGATTTGGTGGGGTTCGGGTTGTTCGGTGACTAACGCCGAGACGTGCGATGAGTCATGCAGCGGAGCCCAGGCGCCCACGCACACACCTCCACCAGCCCATGATAATCCAGAAATGGCAAAAGCCTTTCAACTTGAGGGAAGAGGTAAAGATGGATCCAACAGTACCAAAATCAGCAGATTGGCTAACGTGAATACGTGTAAGTGGAGGCGATTCAAGGCTAGTTTGTCAGGGACTGGGACGGTGCCCTTTCAATCCCCTAAAGTCTCGATTAGCACTTTATTACTTACCACGTTTCCAAAGTTAAGTTGGATTGTCACTTTCAATAGTGCCTGAAGTGTTATTTTATTCTCAGCTGGATGGGTGGTTCCTGAAATTAAGCTCACTTCCGAAGCTGGAAAATTTTTTTTATCAAAAAGTTTGCCTACCAAATAGTTTTTACGAAATTTCATGAATTTTGGTTATGTCTCAATTTAATTCAATTTTTTTAATCTGCTTAAAAATGGCAATTCTTTGTACGAATCTCTATAATATAAGTGGCACCTGGTTTTCTACTGGCAAGTAATTTACTACGCATTTAAACTACCATTTGCTTGCAATTATGTTTAGGCCTAGTGGCCACCCTCTGTGTTCATCACCCACAACAGTGATAACTTCCCTTTTTATCAAATAGAACATTATTCGTGTTTTGGCGATGCACTGTTACATCGGACTCGGTGTTCTGCCATCGTTAATGAGAGCGCTGAAGTAGCAGTAGTCGTCCCTCGATGCTTTTGAAGCAAAGATGCTTATCTTCATGCGATTTATGCCTTATTGCGTCCATATTTTGCCATTATTTTGTAGGCCAAAACCTTGGATATGGCTTCGTTAATTATTCAAATGCCAAAGATGCCGAGAGAGCGATTAATACACTGAATGGACTTCGTCTACAAAATAAAACAATTAAAGTAAGTTGACCTTTAATGCGCTTTGAATAAGCATGCTAAACGAATATTCAGGTATTTAACATTTGGGTTTAGTGGATCGTTATATTGTAGCCATACGTGCCCACTTTCCTTGAATAAAGGAAGAAAGCAAGCTGCATATGATTACCTGTTTTGCTCATTTGATATTTTGCATAATTTTCGAAGGCTTTGGCTTTTTGGTACACAAAATAAGGTTTTTACAAGCAATCCCTCACATGGATGGGCTTGCCTGGGCAGTGATCAGGCTTTAGCCAATCAGAGGGGCAATTCAAGTCGAGTCATGGGTTCCGTGGGGATGATAAGTAGAGCAACTTTCGGCAAAGAAAAATGCGTAAACCGACCTTTCACGATTATGACTGTCCCACTGACGCTCTTTATTTGCAGTCAGGAAAAAGGAATTCCGAAGAAAAGAAGGGTTTTAATAACCTCTGGAACAAATGCAATTATTTTGGCCACAGTTGAATTTATGGTCAATTAGTCAATCATTCTGGCTATTCGGAGCATGATGTACTAATTTGACACAGAGACGTACACAGAAGTCTGTGACGATTGTCAAATGACAATACGCAGGTGTGGTTTGTGGAATCTACCGGATTGGTATTAATTAAAAGCATTTGCGGATGTTTGCTTTTATGCTGAAATTTGTCTTTAGTACCTTGAAGCTCTCGTATACGTACAAAGCTTAACGACACAATTCTGTGAAGTCCAAAGTTTGGCAAGCTATCTTTAATTCAAGTGTGAGGAAGTAGGCACGATTGATCTCTCCAAATATACTGTCAGATGTTTCTAAAATAACGCCAGGGACTACGCGGTTGATTACACCTTTTGTGCTATTTCGATGCCTGCATGATGAGTTGGATTAAGTCATTACATATAGGTTAGCAACAAATTACCCAAAAAAGGCAACTGACAGAATGGTTTGTTGGATGTTTAAGCCAGAGCATGACGTGCGAATGCGAACACTTACGATGACTAACTTATGTTCAGACATGAGAGTGCGAAAGGATTATGCCATGGAACTAATTACAATGTATATCTGCACTCGATTGCCAGTGACGCAGTTATCGCACAAGATGTACCAACCAGGCAGAGGTATTTCGAATTACCTACGCCTCTCCTCCAAAGATATTTTATCTTTGGTAACGAATTCTCGTTTCTGGGCTATATAGAATCCTGCCGAAATAGTTCTCTCTACGAACGGTGGATGAACCTGTATAAATTACATTTAAGCTAATTTAAAGGGGGTATGGTCCGGTTTGGTCTCTTGTCATTTTTGAATAATTAAGTCGGATCTCTTTAATGTTTAGGTTTCTTTAGCACGTCCGAGTTCTGAATCTATAAAAGGTGCCAATTTATACATATCTGGACTTCCGAAATCCTTCACACAGCAGGAAATGGAGAAGCTGTTCGCCTGCTGTGGGAAAATTATCACCTCTCGCATCCTTTACGACAACAATACTGGTAAGTGTTTTGCTCGTGAAAACGTATGGAGTGTTCGTGCTTTTTTACACTTCAGGCGTTTGGCAGGAAGGCAAAAGCGTGCTGTAGCTAATAAAATGAGATCGTTTTTCAATTTTATTTGATTTCAGCATTAAGGATGAGATTTTCCCGTCCCTAATGTATGATGCTGTTGCTTTGATGTCTCGTTGCTGAATGAAAACCGACACTTAAAGACGAGCAAAAGTTTTAACCGAAACCATTCCCCATATTTGCCTTAGTAAAAAAACATTTATTTTATACTGCATTTGGTAAATTTATTTATCGTATTCGTGCTGGAACTCTCGCTTTCGCACAAGAAGTGAAAAAGATAACTTGGGAAACGGGCTTTGTAAGGGTAAGCTCATTTTTCCCCAAATCACGACCGAACTAGAGTAATTCGTACGGAGCACTACTGTGTTTACACGACTATTCATCAGTGGATTCGGTTTATTTGCTTTCCTTCCCGCATTAATTTCTAGATTGGTGTCACACTTTACCAAAATTAATTATCATCTACGTCAGTCTAGAGATTTCACTCATCGGTAACACTTTTACTAAATCATTAAAGCGTTGAATGAGAAAGTTAATGTTGAGGAATCTTAGAGACTTAGAAGCTAATAGTCTTCAATCTTCGATCAAGTCAGCAGCGGTTTTGTGGACCCTAATATTCCACTCTATTCACCATCTCCTATCCAAACGTGCAAGGTTAAAGCTTATCGCTCATTCAAGTGAGGAAATACCGCTTCATCATAGAAAGCTTGATCGAAATCAGCAGTACAGTTTAGCTACTACCAGCTTCTTTATTCAGGACTTTATAAGGCAGTATACTTGTGAACCCCAAATGTTTTTCATTTCACCAGTTTAAAATGCCGTTGAATCACAAGAGGGTATGAATAGCGTAAACATTCTAAAGTATTGAAACTACCTGGCTTAATTTTGTGATTTGAGCCAGTTCAATAGAGTTTTCTACGCCAAATGGTTGGAGTTTATTAATTTTAAGTTGCAAAGACTATGGTATCACCAGGAGAATCGTCAATCGGATAGTGCCTTCTGAGATGGATGAGTACCTAAGGATCTATTTACTATTTCGCTCAACTACTCATCCGATGTTAATATCATCATTAAGCAGAAAGGTGACTCCATGATGCAACTTGTTTTTTATAGCACATTAATTTTAGCTTTACCACAATTTTTAGGAAAGTTTTTTAAGCAAAACAAACTTATGCGTTATGTAATAGCAGTGTTGACGAAACATCCTGGTAACCTAAGACGTGGACACGGCGAAGACATAATCGCGTAGGAATTGAATACAACATCAGCTATCCGTGGAAACTGGGTGTTTCTTACCTATCCGTTGACTATAGTTGCACAAATTTCACTTTTTCATCATAATGTAACAATATCCTTCCTATTCTATAATTATTCCTGTTAAACTGGTCCTTTTATGGTCCATACCTCTTCTGCATCGTTAAGCCATTTGAAGGAGTATGCAGGAGGGCTGTTGGATAAGTGGTGGCCTAAGATTAGAATTTGAAACAGCTTGATCACTCAGCGCACACTGTAAGTCCAAAAACACTTGGGGAGGCCATAAAGGTGACAGTGGGTTTATTGAGTTACAGCTGCGAATCTGCTCGAAACGCAAATCACTAGCGACGGAAATGCTGCCAAGCCAAGGTGAATAACCATCTCTTCTTTTGTTTTCGGTAATGAAGTAAAAATAAATGAATTGAAAATCCAGAATTAACAATTGCTTGTTGAATATAAAAGAAGTCACTTTTTAATCTGGTGACCTCCAAATGTGATGAACTTTTGCTATCATTTTTTGGATTATTCATAAACCCAACATTAAAATAGTCATGTGAATAAGGATTCCCCATTATAAAACTAAATTATACCTAAAAGTCAAAACAATTTTTGGTAAACATGGTGATGGTAAAGTCTTATAAAACAACCTGATTAATGTGGTGAGTAAGTGTTTTATCTCTGTGCCTTATGATTGGAGATCCCTTGAGAAAATTTTTCGCAGTTAATTTGAGTAACTAAAGCAAATTTTGTTTTCATAACAATGTGCTAATGAAAGGGGGAATTCACAAACAACACGCCCACTTGCAAATAGAAGCCTTGAGTTATTTTAGGTGTAGTACTAAGTGGGAAAATCTTCATCAAAACATGTTTTGAAATGGACCCTAACTGAACCATCTTTTGAAAGTTTCAATTAGTAAACTATTCCATTGCAGGAAAAAACCTACCATTAAGTTTGTTCAACCGACTTTTAAGTCCATTGGCTCACATTTTGACACAAATATAGTGTAATTAGGTAGTGGATACAGCAAAACTATTACACTTATTTCCCAATACTCAGTTACTGTTCATTCTGATTGAATGGCGCACAGCCGGATAAAAATACCAGGATTACATGCCATCAAAAAGGAATGCATCAACTACATTTTAATGGCTTGCTTAATCAAATTATTATTTTCACTTTTTAATTACGGTTAAACCTGGGGTATACATTTATTAATGAATTCATTCATAGCGTTCGCAACCTACACAGAAGGTCCTTCACAGTTGGTACGATTTACCTGAAACACTTATTGTATCACCTGCATTCCCTTAGGTCTCTCAAGGGGTGTTGGATTCATCCGCTTTGACCGTCGTAGTGAAGCGGAGCACGCAATTCGCCACTTGAACGGCGCGGTCCCACCCGGTTTCACGGAGCCAATCACCGTAAAACTCGCAAATTCACCTTCCGGTGGTGGTGGTAGCGCTGTCTCAAATCCCGCAGGTCTCATTAATCCCGTAATCCACCAGCATCATCAACAACATCACCAAGGCCTCCTCCTTGCCGCTGCCGCTGCTGCTGCGGCAGCAGCGGTGGCCGCCGGATCGGCGGAGGTCAAAGCCCCACTGCCACCACCACCACCCCCACCACCGCATTCCGCTCAGCCCCCCACTGCCATGGCTTTCATGCATCAGGTTGGTATGTTTCTAATGGCAGGACAGTAACTGGATTCCATCTACGGACAACTAAACGCCTTTTTTGCCAATAACCTTTCTCAAAATGGGGTAAATTATCAGTGCTATTTCCCTGCGTTAGGTCGATGTCCACTTAGCTGAAGACACCATTTTATCGGAGGGCTATTGTATCACTTTGCGACTGCACAAACTCCCCTTGTGCTCGCCGAGTACTATTTTAGAATCTGTTTGGTTACTTGCATAAAAATGTCTGGTTTTAAAGTCATTCAATGGCCTTAAAGTGGATCAGTATCTTTCCAAAAAAATTTGATACATTTCGATCGCTACGGGACAGTTGCACAAAACTACCATCATTTGGTAATGCTCGAAGTACGTGCTTGTAGACCATATTTTGGCAATTTTGTGTATAGATAAAACCGGGTAATTATTTGGGTCATGCCTAATCCATGTTTCTCCCTTAATTGGAACGCAAACACTGAGTTGAAGTTCAACGGCTCTAGTTATTTCCTCCTTGTAATATGTTTTGTATTCCACTAGTATTTATCTCGTATACAGAAAATGAATGATTAGGGTATGTAATTTTGCTTTGCTTAAACTTATGTTATTGGAAAAAAAAACATTTTTTTTAATGGTGTTGTACCGCTAGTACTGTTTCCCAACTCAGGCCCCGGAAGGACAATAAATCGCCTAAGATAATAAAGGTGCTGCTTAATTCTGACTTGGTTAATGGATGATTCTTCGTTTGACTTGTGCAAATGCATGATGATATTACACCGTAATAAAGCAGTTGGGGGCAATTTCCATCGACATTGAACTAAAGTATGACTGCTTTTATCTTATTCGGCGTCTATTCCTGCAACAGTGACCGACTTCTTTGCATAATGCTCTCTCTTCGTAATGACCATTCAGTTACTTGTTCATTTGGATTTCATTATTTCAGAGCACTTGATTAATTACTGAAACAAAAAGCTCTTCCACTAGTTATGCATTCGCCTCATTTTTACTGACGTCAAGTGCGACTCTTCATTTATCAATTTTTTGTCTGCCGATCACATTCTTACTCAAATGTTTGACTTCGCTTGGGGAAAAACTGCCACAAATTCTAAAGCTGACCTAAAGGTATGTCTCAGACACAAAAGTATTTTAATGGGAGAGGTTGACCGCACCTTTACGGGGAATAAAGTCGGTTTTTATTTTGTTGGGTTGGTAGGCTTCTCCGTTATCTATTAGTCACCTATCTGTCAGTGGCTGCTCTATTCAACTGATTACTTTGATTGTTGAAGGCCAGAGCCTGATTGAGTAATTCTTAAACGAGAAAGGTGGTCAACTTTTCACCACGACAGTGATGCTACTCATAGTTGTAAAGCATATATTTTGCAGCTATATTTCCTACTTTGCTATACTTACTTGTCAAGCTCCGATCAAGCAAGGCTGTCTAGCAATACTAAGTAGAAGTTCGGGAAGGCTTTATTTAATCAGTAAGGCCTGGCTTAAGTACTAGTAAGACAGCGTTTAAAGAGGATGAGGACATCTTTAAATGTGCGAATAGACCGTGTAACTCCTCGAGACTTTCTTAAAGAAAAGAGAAGACAATGCTCTGGGTAGAATACACATTATTGACGAGCAGAAGGGCTGAGGGGCTACCACAGGCCATCCCCTTCAGTGTCCGCTTAACTAAAAGGGAAAAACTAAGCAAAAAATTGAAGTATTACAATAACAGTCTGAATCTTTGCTTAAGTCATGAAAGTCCGCACATGTATGGGAGGTTTATCATTCAATTTCGGAGGTCACAGGCACGGCTATGCCTTCAGAAGGATATACAAACCCCAGAAGCTGAGGCGCACAGTTACTAAAACGTTTCAGACCCTGTTTTGCTTTTATCTTACCTCATTTCAAATACAGCTAAGAAAAAAAAATTTTCTAGGATGCTATCGTCTTAGCTTTGGTAAAACCGAAAGTTTCTAATGAGTGGTCGCTTGTTCTTTGGATATAGTATTTTTATAAAAGATCAGCGCATAATGTACAGTTTTTTTTCACTAAAAAGTCTCCCTTTATTATGAAGCTTCTGAAGTTGTAACAACTACCTACATGTATAGTTCTGGTAGCAAGGGGCTACTCAAATATTAAGCTTTGCGTTTCTGGTATCCAAGAGCTACCAATTATGGCAATTAATAAAAGAAGCCCATTTCCTCCTTTGCACGTGCTTTATTCCACACTGCTAGCAAAGGTAAGCTGCTGTTCGAAGAGATTTATTATATGGATTTGATATATACCAAAGGGCTGTGAAAAATTTGTGGTAGGGATTTTCTCGTCATCATTCTATTTTTATCGGTGCTGCACTAAAGGGAGTGGACGGAGCTTGGAGATGTTATCAAGTTCATGCAGAAGTACCACATCTGGTTGTTTCAGATTTTATGATGGTAAATTTACTTTTAGTTACATGGCTTAATAACATCGTCCATTGGTTGATTATACCTCCTTTTTTAATGAAACTCTTTATAACATTTTTATACCTTGGTGAACTCTTTTTTATCATTAGTCGAGGTGATAACATCTCTGCCAGATGGATGGCACCTTATTGAATGGGGAGAGTTACTTAGACAGATTTGTGGACAGCATCCAATTCGTATACTCTTTAAAGCATTGGCCCTTTACGTGATCGGGATGCCGTTTCCCCATCTCTTCACTTTCCCTTACCTAAAACGTTGGGGTTCAGACGGCATCTTGCCCCTTGGTGGGAAAAATGGATTGCTTTTGAAAGTAATGGGTTGTAGTTAATGGCCATGTACAATCGGGCTACCCTGTTTACTGACTTAAGTCTTCGCCCAGCGTTGTAAAGACTTACGTTCAGTCTAGCTGTTGATATATCTTCTGTGCCTACTTTTCATACTTCCTGTGTACAGTAACGTTGTAATTCCTTTCGACTAAATGAAGGAAACGCCAAAGCAGAGGATAATCAAGATTGACAGCATAGTGTGGTATTTTTCATAACGCCTCCTTTTGTTATTGAAAGGAGGTCAAATAAGTACTTTACAATAACTTTTGTCAGATTCCGTAGGAAAGGTTGAAAGTTTGTTACTACTTTGTGCCCTAGGAGCTGCTAATGATTTGTACGGGGTGTAGATCTTAAAATAGTTTTATTACCATTAATAAAGTGGTACTGAAGAAGTGGAGGTGTGATTAACATGATCAAAGTTGGACGTATTCATTGTAAAAGATATCATTTATTGACTAAATGTCCGTTTTACATCCCCCATTACGTTCGATGGTCTCCAATGTCTTTTCTCCAGGTGGATAACGTTGGTTGAAACGATGAAAACACAATGAACTTAAAACCCACTGCAAAATCTTTCAGTTAAAAAGCAGTGGATTGACTTGTATTCTTCAATATAATAACTTTTGCTGGATAAAAATCGCCAGGATATGCATTCGGTAGGTGTATCAGAAAGCCGAACAAAGCCAATCGGTGAGCCCATTTCGGCATCCAATTGCACCCCACAAAAACGTGGGAAATTGGGTTTGAATGAGATCAACAATGCCGTAAATTCCTTGAATCATATCCGCCTTAGGCGTAATCGTCTCGCTGATTCCTCAATACTTTGACACTTTCAAGACACATGCCCCGTGATTTTCCTCAAACTCTTGTAACTGGAGGAAGATACTTTCCCCCAGGAAGAAATTAAGACCATTTAATTAGGATTTTAGGTCATTGCTCTGAGTTACCATCATTTAGCTCCTAAAATAAATGGCTTTTCTGCGTCTGTTTTTGTATAGCAATATAGTACTAATAGACTTCTAGGATGTTTCAGTTCTAGTGGTAGATACAATGTTAACCATGGTGTTTGTTCCATCACGCTTCCATCAATGTAGGCTATGAATTATTTGTGGCAGCTTAAGCGTCTTGGAGTAAATTCTAGTATAGTTCAGAATAGCTGAGATCTGAAGGTGCAGACGGTAAATTTCTTCCTAACTAAAACTTATGTGGAATTGTTGCCCACAAAAATGTAAGTTATCAAAAATTTGAACGTGACCTTGACAAGTGAAAACACATTTAAGCGAAATAAAAATTTAAAAAATAGGAAGGTCTGTGATTTGCATTCGGAAAATACTTCTAAGCCTTTTAAACACACACAGAGGCTGCCTTGAATACACAGCAAGGGTACTTGAAAGAACCACAGCCATGGGGATATCTTTTCATTCTATCTTAGATGGCCTCTCTCCCAGCAAATTTTACGTTGGCCGCACACCCCATCATGCAAGCTGCAGGCCACGGCCCACTCCACCTCGCTCCATTCCACGACTCCGTGGAGTTACTCCCGCGATCGGCCCCAGCAACAAGCAGTCGGCAAGTTCTAACCGCAATGACCGCCATTCACGTGCCAGGCGCGCACGAGAAGGCTCTCGCCACTGCGCCCTTCATCGGTCTTCCCCTGGCACCACCTCCCCCGCCCCCTCCTCCACCTCCCTCCCTGGCAGGCTCTCAGGGGCTGCACCACCATCCTCCCACCTCTACTGTCTCCGTCGCCGCTGCCGCGGCCGCTGCTGCTGCGTCGGGAATCTTTGCGCCACTAAATGCACGATTTAGGCGAGTTTTCTTGGCAGAGCATAGGTTGTTTTCTTCGCCTTTTTGTTGGGTCTGCTTAAGGAAATAAATCAAAAATATTCGACTAAAACTTAAAAGAATTGCTCTGCAGTCGTATCTCAAATAAATGTCAATGTAGTAATTTAACGACAACATATGCTTACCGCCGCCTTTCATCTGATGAAGAGTGGTGATGAAAACCCGAAAATTATTTCTCACAACTCCATAGCTGGAGCTGGTGTAGGTCCTGTTGGATTGCGTAGGCGGAAGATGGAGTAGCTTTTTCAGAAGAACGACATAAATATAAGTATTAACATCGTCAAGTTTTCTGTCCCAGATTTTATCTATTTTAATTCATTTGAAAGAGTTTTGGTTTTTTTCGGCTACCAAATTGTTCATCTTTTTCTCAGCCAAAGGATACTTTTAGTGTTTTCCTCACGGAGTTGTAAATTTCGTATTCTTACTGTTAAAGCTGTCTTTATAAGACCACCTATGCGTATTGTGTAGTATCTCGAAAATTTAATCATTTAAATGCGATTTTGGAGATCGTATGAGTGATATTTTTTTTATTCGGTACTTTATAAGAATCATTATACTCATAAGAAAGCAAAACTATATAAGTAGGGGAGAGCACCGCAGTCTCAGATATACCTTACTTATAGGAAGTAAACAAAAACAAATATTTGGTTGGAATAGATTATTGTGATGAAAGAGGAAGTAGAAGGAGGACGCCTATTCAATTACACCGCTGCCGTTCTGCACGGGTCGCTGCAGATTTGATTGACATTCAAAAATGATCTTCCATTCAAGACTGGTTTAATAAAGTTTGTAGCCTCAGACGCACACCGTTTTTCAGGTTAAATGGGAATATTGCTCTTTCTTTTAACTTTGGATCAATAAGGAATTTTAAGGTCGTTTGCATGACATTGAAACTTGAAAACATTGTGTCATCTTTGATAAGGCGAGACTAGCATGGGAAATCGGAACAGCGATATCCCTTAATACATTTATAAAATCTTTTAAGGACAAGTGTTACTTTATTGAGTTTCACACCTCTAACCTACTTTTAAAACACCAATGCTAGTCTAACTTCATCGTGTTACCCCACAAACGGCGTCTGTAGCCTGCTCCTTGATTTTATACGAAAGAAACGCCCACGTTCCCCTAATTTCTCTTTATACTTTGTGCAAATTCCTAGAAAAATTTTGCTTCCTTTTTAGGGGAGACTACTCTCTGTGTCATCCACCACATATCTCACCTGTTTTCTTACTTTATTCGGGGTAAATAACATTGTCACTGCCAAACCTTCCAACTCTGGCCCTCTTCGAGGGTACAGCCTTTTGCTCGCTTTTGACACTTATTCAAGTCACCTTTTTCTCCTTGCTTTTGTCTCATGCCTATTAAACTAACTGCTTTCTTGCTTACTTAGAAGTCAGCGAGCTAACAAGAGAGTCTGTAGTCATTTCACTTGCTCGCCTAATTGCTGGCTAACGCAAAACCCTAGCTTCTATTTTGGGACGCTTAAAAGATGACAAAATGCTGGCATATTCTTCTTTTTACACTTCCACCGACCTGACTTAAGCCCTCTACACTGCTCTTAAAGCGGTCTCGGTATCTATTTTCTAGACAGGGATGGTCCCGGTCATATGATAACCGGTCGTTCTATGAGCATCCCAAATTACTACTCATTAATGTGCTCGCAGGTCCTCAAATTTCAATTTTTGGCTCAACGCTTCACTTGTTGAAGCTTGGAACATCGTATTTTTCCTACAAAAATTATTGCAACCGTAACTGTTGAACAATTTTTCAAAATTTCGCTGTTTTATCATGAGATGAATAATAAAGTACACCTCTGCCACCTTAGCAGTAGCTTGTTTTGGCTACCTGGCGTTTTTATCAGTCTGATAAATAAAGTGGACGGTAGATAGTTTTCTGGTCCAATCGCGTTTTTAGCAGCAAGCTTCCCTATAACTCAACCGTTGAAATTAACGTGATCAAGTTAGTTTAGCTATCAAATCCTTGATTTAGCAACTATATTCAAACTTTGGTATTGACTCACCCATAGTTTTTGGGTTTGCCCTTCGCTCTAACCATGATTTATAGTTACCCGCCTTGGATGGTCGGTTTTCAAATTGAATTCTCTTGCCAGAGCAGAACCTCTCATACCATCATATTGGCACATATGTTTCACGCGTTACTTCCTCACTAATCAAACCTTTTTTTGTACATTTTCCCCTGATCGGTTCAACTGTACAATTTCCAGTAGACCACAAGGTAGGTTTTGAAATAAGTTGCCATTTTCCGAGAGTTTTCTAGAACGAGTGATTAAAAGAAGGATAGGTACACCTAAAAACAGGTGTAATTATCCTTGAAACCAATGATTGTTTACGTAGGACTTGGAGATATTAGTCGAATGACTATTTGTTGTACTTTTAAAGTAGCCTTAGTGCTTCATACACTGGAATTTTGTTGGTACTCATTTTTGCTACATGGCACTTGCCGGAGGTTTGCTTAAACTCAAGCATCAAAAGTAATCCGGACGTCCAGCACTTGAATTAAACACCAGGAGGGACCACGCAAAATCTACAAGTCGTCTTTCCTTGGGATGATAGATGACCAAGTAACATGCGCTGATTGAGAATCGGCACCTAACACCGATATTGCATGATTGATTGGCGCTTGTCACGCCAGCAATTG